TCAAGCAGGGTGTTCTGTCCGGGCCTGGAAGTTGCTAAACCAGTCCTGTGGTCCCAGCGTGACTGCTTGTGTTCCAAGGAAGAGGAAATAGATTGGTTTGCACTAAGCAGGTTGCTGTCCTGGGTGGCTTTGGCCTCACCTCTTCTATACCTGGGTCTCTGCTTCTGGACCTCAGCATCTGAAGTCTGACTATGTGCTGTATGTTTAATAAAATGAAGCCTGGTATGGTCTACAGTGGTCAGACCTGCCTTTCGGTGTGGTTATGTGATCCCTTGTGGAGTTAGTTGTTGGGGGTTTTTCTGGGTCTGGAATGTATGTAGGAGTTGGTGTTACTGATGGATCACAGAAGGGCGGTCCCAGCAAGCATCTCCCCGCCATGCCTCCCTCCCCTGCAGGAGACAGCATCGTGGCGTATCTGACGGGGGTGCTGACAGACCTCCTCCACACCCAGAGAGACCCCCTGGCTCTGTGTCTTCTGCTTCAGTCTTACGACAGATTGGAGCCTCCAGTCCCACCTTGCTGCCGCCAGCTGTCCTGGTTCAGCAGATATTACAGCAGCTGGATCCCAGAGCCGGCCCGAGAGGCGTTGGTGAGCTGGGGCGGCCACCACTTCTGGGAAAACCAGGCCTTTCTTTCCCTAGAAAACCCAGAGGTCTCTCCCTGTGGGCTGCAGTGGTGTGTGGAAACCTCCCTGATTCAGTGCCCTCACGTGAACACACACTAGGAAAATGTGTGTCACTGAGAATGTTGGGACTTGAATAAAATGCCGCAGGGTCACATACTTTTCAGCATCAGTAGGAGGTTTCTGTGAACTAGGCCTCTGTGTGTCGCCCGTCCCTGTTTCAGCGCACTGGGCCCCTTTGCCCTCTCTGCTGATCTGTTTTTCCTCTTCTCGGCCTCTGCTGTCTCTCCCAGCCGCTGCAGATGTCTGGCAGCCCTGCCCCGCCAGGCCCCCCGGACCCCTCCTTTGCCGCCCTGCTGCAGGCGGCCTACATGGGTGAGGAATCGGGCCCGCTCCAGCTCCTGGACGAGGCGGTTCAGGCACAGCTGCAGGCCGCCCTCCTGCGCCTCCCGATGCACCAGGCCCTGCGCTTGGCCAAACACCTGCTGCTCTACGTCAGGAGCACCGTGGAGAACTTTGGCCAGGTCAGCACTGCCCCCACTCCCCTGCGGTGCCCACGTGCTCCCCTGTCCCTGCCTACAGAGAACGTGGCCTCTTGCAAGCGGCGGTGTTGATGGAGTCCAGGGACCCCATTGTCGCCCCATTTGTTCCATACGTGGGGAGGGCAGTGGCCTGCTGCGTGGGTCCCCGGGCAGGCCTGCAGTGTAGGGGCTTGGCCACTCTGCTGGTCCAGCGCCCTTCCTTCCTGAAGCAGAAGCAGGCTGTGCACCCGCTTTCTCCAGGCCTTAGGTGCAGACCCAGCGGACCTCAACTGGGAGTCAGGTGCAGCCGAACTCTGTCACTGGGGCAGCCGAGTCAGGATGGGGCCCTTCCCCTCTCTCCTGCATTCGTTTTAATTCAGAAGTTCATTGCTGAGTCTTCTGTCCCTGGTGTGATTTACAGATTTTTAGTTTAGGTTTTCAGGTGGGCCTTTTTCCCTTTTCCTCATTTTGGTCAAAATACACCTGTGTGTTTCATCAAGAGGACACGTCTTATTAAGAAATGACCTTGAGGTTGCTGGCATTTATGGGGAGTGGCCACTTCAGCCTATCTCCCTCCTTGATTCTCATTTCTGGCACCTTCTGGCCCCGAGGAACCTGCTATCACTGTTCTGGTGACTGTCAGCGCTTCCGTCTCATCCTCACAGCTGGGCAAAAGCACAGGGCCTCCCCTGCTGCAGTTCCTCCTGGATCTCCTCAGGCGCCTGGTTGTCCACTGTGAGCAGCTGGACGCCCAGAACCAGCAGAAGTGCCAGGCGGCCCAGGCCGAGTCCGACCTCTTTTTGGACATGGAGTCCATGGCCTTGCTGGAGTTGGCCAATGACAAGGTAGGGCCACCCTTCTTCCCCAGGTCTCCTTCCTGGTGGCCTTTTCCTGCGAGGTCACAGACACAGGCTTTCCCCCCATCCTGGTTAAAAACAAATGCATGTTCGTTGCAGGAAAATAGGGAGATGCAGAGAACTCTAGAGGAGACACTGAAAACCACCCGCGACTCCCCACCCCGAGATAAGCACGGTTGCCTTTGGGCATCCGTCTTTGCAGGCACTTCTCTCCGCTCACACTTGCCCTCCTGCGAGCACTTCTCTCTCCCACTGTGTGCTGTGAGCATCTCGAGAATTCGGCCTGCGTGTTTTCCTTTTAAAGAGTTGCAGCCTGAGTGGAGTAAAGGCCGGGCAGTGGGTGGGGCCCTCGGTTGTAAACACACACAGTGAGTGCACTGCACGGAGAGGCGTGAGCCCTCCTCTCTGCTGTTAGTCTTGTGAGGCAGGCTCTTCAGTGGGGCCAGGCCGAACCTTTCCCACCACTTGCCATCTGACCTGTTGTACTGGGTCCAGGAGGCAGGCATGTCCCACATTTCACAGTGCAGTGCACGCCTCCCTCCTTTGATCTCCATGGGGGCTCCGGGGGTGTTGCTGGGGCAGGACCACCTTAACGTCGTCGGGCAGCATGCTCCAAACGTGCACTTTTCTGTTTTTATTTGACGAAACTCAATTGGAAAGTGTGATAGGCTTCTCTTTCCTTCCCTGGAGAGTAAATGAGGAGAGGATGGTTATTCCCGTCCCTGGAGCTGGGGTGACCTCGTGGCCAGGTGTCACGTTCAGTGAGGCTGCATCAAGTCATTCTGATCCAGCAAGGGCGCTCAGCCCTTTTCTGCTCAGTGGTTTAAACTAGTCTTGGGGTCAGAGCTAGTTCCCAGGGAGGGTCACTCGGTGGGGGTCACTCGCAGCCCAGTCTTCTCCTGCAAGTAGATGCAGGATGAGCTTCAGTTCTGGAGAGTGGGCATTCATAGCAGTTTAACCCCTACCCGTCTTCCCCAGCCACGGGGTCTCCTAAGCTGAGGCTGCCCTGTCCAAGTTGCCAGGTGATACCCACAACCCTCCACCAGATTTATTTAGGTTGGTAGGCCTGCTGGGGAGAAACCAGGAGATGACTGATCTTAATCCCACGTTGGTGTTTCTGCATGGCCGGAGCCCTGAACGAGTGATGGTGGAGAGCAGTTTTGCTGCACAGCAAATTCATTTGGGCTCCATTTATCAGACACCTGCTGGTCTGGGCGGGGCACTGACCAAGTCACAGTTCAGCCCTTGTGGTCGTCCAGGGGAGAAGGTGCGTTACAATTGGGTAACAGCTTTGACTGGGCTCGGGCTGGGGTGCCTCGTGCACCCCTAAGAGAGGCATGGAAACAGGGGCTTGAGGATGCACCGGCTTAGGAAAGCTGTCTTCTGCTCTTCGTCCTGCCGCTGCCCGCTCTTAGCTGGCTGGGGCCGTGGGTGAAGTCCGGGCTTTGTCACTCTGTTTCAGACTCTGGAGGAGGTGCTCGGGGCCATCCTCAGACATCCCACACTGGAGGGCTGGTACCTGGCCCTGGAGCGGCAGGCCCTCCCTCCGCACACCCTCAGCCCCATCCTCGTGAAGCTCCTGGCAGCCCATCTCAGCAGAGGAGTCCTTCAGTTGCTGGTGGCCAGTGCCCCAATCCTCCAGAGCATCGGTCAGCTGGGCCTCCTGGCCAGGTACTCGGAAGCCATCACCCAGAGCGTCCTCAGAGAGCTGCGAAACCGGAGGGCGGGCTCAGCCTCAATGACGCCAAAGACCCTTCCTCAGCTTGAAGCCCTGCAGGGGCTGCATCCGTACATGGAGGGTGCCCAGCTCCGGGAGGTCACCCTGGCCCTGCTGAGCCTGCCGGTGGCCCACCTGGTGGCCCAGCGACCTGCCAAGTCCCCCAAGAAGGAGAGACAGCTGAGCGCTCTTGGGAGGGCGCTGGTCCAGCTGTTGACCAGCAGCCCCCGGGATCAGCTGCAGAGCAGCGAGCTCCTCTGGGCCTCTGAGTACGTGAGGGGCCTGGGGGCCCTGCTTCCCACGCTGGCCGTGGACGAGCTGGACGCTGTGCTCCTCCACGCACTGCAGAGAGAGCCCTTGCTGGCCTCTGTGGTTGGAGTCGACCTGCTGGACTACTGCCTGGCCCGGCGGACGCAGGCAGCCCTGGGCACAGCGGCCCTGCTCCTGCAGTGGAGCTGCACCCACCTGCTGCGGTTTGAGCGCTGGTGCGGGCAGCCCGGTGTGGGGCGCTGCCTGCGGGAGGCCCCGGATGACCTCCTCCCCATCATCAGCGTGTACCTCCAGTGCCGGGCTCAGGGACCCTTCACGCGCCCCGTAGGAGGTATGGGAAGGGATGGCCGGGCGGGCAGCCGGTGGGGCGTGAGAGCACGGATCCGGTCTTAAGCCCGGGAACCTTACGTTCCTCACTGTGCTTTTGTTCTGTTTCCCCTCCGGTGTCTGACTCGGCTCTGGAGGTGGGGAAGGATGTCGAAATTTCCCCATCCTTCCCCAGACCCCAGACTCCTGACCCTCTGGCCTGAGGTGTTGCCCCGTGCTGCCGTCTACTCGGAGTTACCCACAGGGAGCTGGGGTGGGTGGGGGGCGGGAGATGAGGGGACAGTAGCTGTGGCCACTGGAGGCCAAGGAGGGAGCCGCCCGGGGCTGGGTCTCGTTAGGTTGAGGAGTCATCGGGTGACGGTCCTTTGGAGCGGTGCTGAGCCAAGGCAGCCTGGGCCTCGCTCTCCTCTCTCTCTACCAGTCAGGTTTCAGATTGGAGGCACTTTGTGATCACCTTGAACTTGAATTGTCTTGTGTATGAATGAGTTCTCACTCACTGCTTTGTCTCTGTGTGGCCTAGCTTTGCATGGATGACAGATGATAAATTTTAAAAAATAAGAGCCCCCACAGAAGTGAGCCTTCCAGTGGGTGGTTCTCGGTGCCCGCTCCGGTTCCCAAGTGAGCTCAGGACTAGAAGTCTCACCGTCTGGTCATGATCTTGAGCGAGGGGCCTGCTGGGTTGAACCGTCCCTGTCAGGGTTGAGTGACGAGAGGTGATCAGTGGCGTGCTGGTGAACGTTTAAGACCTGGCTCTTAGGGGAGAAAGATTTGTAGCATTTACCGATTTCCATGGTGTTATTACTCCTGTCATGGCCAATTTCAAGCTACTAGTGTGACATCACCCACGTGACAAGACCCCTGAAATCCAGCCACCAGCTCACACGAGCGGGTTCTGGCGCTCCGCAGTGATGGACTTCCCCTCCTGTTTGTCTCCGCCCCAGTGTCCTCTGCTGTCATTCCTGTCTTGAGGAAGGCCCTGTGGCGGCAGCTGCAGACCAGGCTGCTGAGTGCTGATGGGCCCCCCGAGTCTGGGCTGCATCAGGAGATCCTGGCCCAGCTGGTCCCATTTGCAAGAGCCAAGGACCTCCGTGTTCTCATGGACCATTTGCCCAGCTTGCTTCGGGCTCCAGTCAGTCACAAGAGGTATGAAGGCTTCGATGGTCTGGCTCTCCCATCTCAGAGTCACTTCCCCCTGTCTTGTTTATAAAGCAGTGAAAATTACGGTGTTGCTGTTGCCTCAGTTGGTGAGAACAGTTCTGTAAGAACTCTTCCAGCATCCTGGCTAGAGTGAGTTCATCTCCGCAGGTGGATAGCTCCAATTCCCTTAGAGCCGTGGTTCTCAACCAGGGGTGATTTTGCCCACTCCAGGGGACGGTTGGCAATGTCTGAAATTTTTTGTCATGATATGGACGTGGGGGGAGGGTGTTGCTTCTGGCTTCTAGAGGGTAGAGGCCAGGGTGCGTCTAAATATCCTGTAATGCGGAGGACAGCCGTCGTCCCCCTCGAGAAAGAATCATTTGGCTCCAAATGTCATTAGGGCCGAGGTTGTGATTGCCTGATTTAGACCAAGTCGTATCCTTTCTCTGATGTGCTGATCGTGTTTCCCCAGTCGTAAAAATGCTGGTACATCTTTGATGTTTGAGGAGAGGGCAGAGGAGGCCTGTGATTTCCGTGCTTGGGTAGTGTCGGTACCAGGACTCAGGGCACCTGTCTTATGCGGCCCATTGTAATGTTGTGTTATACTTCAAGCTAGAGGGGTTGAGGCCATGCCTGCCTCTAACTGTGACTGCTGTCTTCTGCTACAGTTGGATGGTGGCCGACTCCATCTCAGCCGTCCTGGAGGAGTCGGCAGAAGAGCTGTGTGCCTGGAAAAAGACTCTGCTGGAGGCCTGTGTGCAGTGGCTGGTCGAGGCCTTCGGTGGCGGCCAGCAAGACGACAGCACCCAGGACCAAGAGAAGCAGATGCTGCTGAGATTAAACGAGCTCTTGGTAGGTGTCTCTTATCAGAGGCCCTAGTTGGATTTTTACGGGGAAGAGTGTGCTAGAAAAACCGAGGTTTACAGGTACATTCCAAGCCAGGTGGCATGACTTGGACCTGGCGGCCGGTGGGAGGGGCTGTGTCCAGGAGCCGCAGGTGGAGGGCAAACTCTGAGCTGACAGGCCATCGTTACCAGGGACGGATGTAGGAATTTGTCAGGATGCCTTTTGTTGCCTCTCCTGAGATGGTTGTAGAGTTTTGGTTTTGTTCAGACTGTTAATGAGGTGAATTATACTAATCGATCTTTGAATGTCAAACCACCCTTGCTTTCCCTGGTTAAACCTATGTGGCCTTGATATATTATCATCTTTATATATTGTTGGATTTGATATGCTGATGTTTTATTAAGAATTTTTGTGTCTGTGTGCATGAGAGATATGAGTTTATAATTTTATTTTCTTGAAATGTTCTAGTCTGGCTTTAGGACCAGGTTATACTGGCCTCAGAATGAGTTAAGAAGAGTTTCACTGGGTGTGAAATTCCAGGTTAACAGTGGTGGTTTTCTTTCTGGACCTTAAAGACGTTGCTTTACTGTCTCCTGGGGCACATTGTTTCTGATAAGAAATCTCTCGTTCTTACCTATTTCTCTGTACATCACGTCTTGTTTCGCTGGCTGCTTCCAGGGCTGTTTTTCTTTACATTGCTTAGAACAGTTGGACTGTGATGTGCCTCAGTGTGGCTTTCTTAAGGCTTCCTGTGCTTTAGGTTCAGTGAGCTTCCTGGCTCTGTGAGTTTAGTGTTTTCATAGAATTCGGAAATTATTAGCTGTTTTTGGCTTTTATTCCCTTTTATTGATGCATCCTTTTTTTTTATGTACAAAATACTCATGTGTTTATGAATTAATGACCAAGTTAAATATGCACCTGCATATAAAAAGGGGCATGTGTGTGTGTTTCTCTCCCCCATCTGCCTGCTCTCCCCAGAGCAGCTGGGTGACGCTGGTGCAGGGGTGGGTGCCCTTGCTGAGTGACCCACTCCTTCCTTTTCCCCTTTATGCCTGACGCATCCTTTTTTTTTTAATGTTGTATTTTTTCACAGAAATAAATGAACCTCTTGAAGGCTGGAGTACGAGTTTTTCCTCAATGCACAGTGTAAAATTGTGTTAAGAGTCATAGAGTCTGTGACTTGTATGTAAAGAAACACTGAACCCAAGACTTAAAAGGGAATCCTGAGGAAAAGGACCCCAGGTGCAGGTTAATAAACGTGCGACAAATACATTTGGGTTCTAGGTCAGCTGTAGTGCCCACACAGTTGTGTTTAGAGACTTTATAACCAGTATTTCAGACTGAATTTGTTGTGTTACAGGTTTGTGAATTTCAGGCCTGTAGGAACCCAACGCAGCAGGACCCGGGAAAAGGAGGGACAGCCCCGAGATGTGGGGAAGCCGCGCTGTGGACGAGGGGCGCCGGGCCCAGCCGGCGGGTGTGAGGGCTGGGGCGAAGGCTGTGCTGTGCTAGGCATTTGTGTTCTCAGGGCCTGCCTCCCTCTTTACCCCACTTTTCTTTTTTCTTTCTCTCTCTCTCTCTTGCTTCTTTTCCCTCCTTTTTAACAGTCAGTTTGTAGAGCAGTTTTGGGTTCATGGCAGAACTGAGCAGAAAGTCCTGAGCTCCCACGGGCCCCCGGCCACCACCCATGCGTAGCCTCCCCACTGCCAGCATCCCAGCAGCCCTTTTCTTCAACTAAGGTGTAATTTTTATCTTGTGAAGTGCAGGGTCTTGAGTGTATAGTTTCATGTTGATGAATACCCCTGTGCCCACTCCCCTGTCCAGGAAGATTTTCATCATCCAGGAAGTTCTCTCATGTTTTTTCCTTGTCACCCCTTCCCTCCAGAGCAGCCCCTCTTCTGACGTAACATACCCTACATTTGGAGATTCTCTCCTCACCAGAGGCTGTGGACCTCTATCGGCCCCGTTGGTGGTGCGGTGGTCTTGCCCTGGGTAGACATGCTGTTGTGAATTTAAACAGTCATGTGTGGCTGCACATGTGTATGTTGTAAATCAGTCAGTGTTGCTCAAAATGGTGGGCAACAAAGAAAGTTACAGGACAATTTGGAACTTCTCTTTTGGTCATTTGAGGATCATAGGTTTGCTAACAGAATGACAGAGCTATTAGTGGAAATAAAACAATTTAAAAAATCAAAGAAACAACCACATGTTTTTGTGAATTGCTTAGGTAACTGTATTCCATGTTTACTGAGGGACATTAATTTAAATTGTATGTTTTCAGTTAATTGGGATATTCCACATACACTTCTCATTTTATTCATAGAATTCACTTAATGAAGTTGATCCTGGGGCTTGGCAGAAATTTGTGAAGACCGGACTCAAGTAAGTGGAATTTACTTGGTGTGATTCAGGCGGGTGGTGAATGCCTTCGCTGGTGCAGAGCCGGCAGGGTAGCTTGTTACTAGTGTAAAGGACGTGGTGAGCAGGTGCCACTGCTGTGTTAGAGACACTGATGTTGGGGAGGCTAAATGATACCTGCCCATTGATACATGTGTGCTTTTAACAATGATGAGGGGGCAGCCTTTAAAAAATGAAATATTTTTTAAAAGCAGAATTGTGCAGAGAATCGTATCAGCACCCAGATTTAATACATGCTGACAGTTTTCTCTGTTTGTCGAAATCAATTCTCTTCCCTCTTTTCGCCCAAAAGCATCACCTTTCTGAGCTTGAGCTTTGTCATGGCCTTGTGTGTTCTCATACTTTGGGTGCTTGTTAGTATGTCTCTAAGCAATAAATAACATTGTTTAATGTGTTTGACGTTGTATACAGATGTGTTACTTTGTGGTCTTTGCTTTGCATTCAAATGTTTTTGAGATACCCGTGTTGATACTGGAGATCTAAGTCACTCCTTTATGCTGTCTGATGACTGTACCAGAGTTGGTTTAGCCAGCCCCCTGCTGATGGACCGCCCCTCCCATTTCTCCCGCCCTCCTCCTGCCCTCCCGCTCCTGCCATGAATGGTGCAGGGCTTTCTGGGCCCACGTGCCAGGTTTTCAGTTTACTCTCCAAGGTGTTTGAGCTCACATGACACAGTGTGGAAGTTCATTTTTTAATTCATGCTCACTAGCAGTTGATATAGTCAGACCTTTTGGCAATCAGATAGTCATGAAACGTTTCATTGTGCCTCTGATATTCATTTCTCTGATTATTCATCCATTTGAGACAGAAAAATACTCAAGAAGACAAATAACTGAAGGTGGGTCAGAGGTTAATGGCAACCAAGTATTACCATCGTGAAATGATGGCATTTCTTTCAGTCTCTGGTTAATGTGTGTTTCTAGAAAGTCTGCTCTGTGCTAAGTGATTCTTAACATTGTTCACATGTGATTAAAAACTTGTTTCCTAGAGCAGGATGCTTTCATTTCTTCAGTGGGCTCTGAAGGGAGTTAAGATGAGAAAGCTTCTGAACCATTTGATGGGAGTGGCTTTTTTTTTCCAAATTTTTTCGTTTGTTTATTTTGGTTTTTCTGTTGTGTCCTGGGGCAGTGGTAATTAAGTTTATTTATTTATTTTAGCGGAGGTACTGGGGATTGAACCCAGGACCTCGTGCGTGCTAAGCGTGCACTCTGCCACTGAGCTGTACCCTCCCTGCTTGATGGGAGCTTTGAGTAGCTGAAAGGAAGGAGGGAGGGAGGCTGGCCAGCAGGGTGGGCTGGGGGCAGTGAGCGTTGTCTTTATTCAGGCTTGGCTGTTATGCTGCCTCCTGGCACTTCAGCGGGCTGGAAAGTTGGTGTGGCATTTGCACTGTCAAGAACAGAAGCAGGCTGCGTGCAGCCCTTGCTGTGCGAAGCGCCCCCTGTGCTGGGGGTGGTTGATGGGGGGGTGGCAGCGGGTGAGGTGCAGTGATGGGGCGGAGTTGGGATGCGGGGTGGATGAGTGTGCACTGTAAAACCCTCGCCTGGGTGGCATGTTGGAAGTCTTCCTCAATAAAACGCTGAGAAAAAGGTTTTTTATCTTTTATGATAAGCCGTTTCCCCCTTGGGTTCTTGCCTCCCAGATACCGGTATCAGGACCATGCATTTTTAAAGGCCCTCTGTGCTGCCATAGAGATCCTGTACCTTCCAGAAAACTCCATGCACTCAAAGCTCACCCAGCTCCCGGTGGTCCACACGATGCTCACCCAGCACTCGCTGTTCCTGCCGACCCTGCTGGAGTCCGGTGAAGAGGGAAACCCAGACAGCCACGTGAAAGGTGAGCCCTCACCCCACCTCCCATCTCAGATCTAGATTTTGTTGCCTGGTTTCATCGAGCTTGCTGTGCACCTAAGCTTAGCACCCACGTGTTTTCAGAGCTAAGGAAGCATTGCACAAACGGTATTCAGATATTTCACTTTTGTCAAATCAAAGCTCAGATTTAAGTGTTTCCTCTAACTTAGGGTCGAACAGCAAGTGCGGACCTCTCTTCAGAGCCTATCCTGGCTCACAGACGTCATATTTAATGTCCTCTTGCCAAATTATGGGCAAGTCTTAAAACTGGAAGTTAGGAGAAAGTAGGAGCAGGGTCTGACCTGAGAGAAATTGTTCAGTTACATAAAACGTCTTAACAGGGGTGGGTGAAACTTATTAAGGGTGAAGTGTTCGGAGGTCCCTGTGGATGGTTCACTGCCGGGGACCCTTTTAAAGCCCAGGCCTCAGCTACATCCCTAGTTAGTTCAATAAGCTTGTGCTTAGGGGTGGGGGAAGGCCATGGAGACATCAGAGGTCTGAAGGGTCCCGCCTCCTGAAGCCACGCTCGGTTAGAAACAAAATTAACACCCCTACACTGTTGGAAACCACTGCGGAGCTGGTCTGTAACAAACTGCTGAACTGGAGAGAGCCATGACCCACGTTCCTGGTCCGGGCAGTAGAAGTAAGAAGGCCCCACCGTTTCAGGCGGGAGGAGATGCTAGATTTTAGCAACACAATCGTGGGGGGAAATGCTTTGGTTTTAAACTCTTTGTTGGTTTAAAATTTGGAAGGGGGCTGGAAGAGGCTGACCGCAGTTTTGACAAAGACCTAGGAAGAGAGACGACTGTGAAGACATGTTTATTTTTAAAAAGGAAAAAGTAGGGAAGGGATTAAGACCAGTATTAGTCCAGTCCCAAGACCAGTATCGTTCAGAGAGGGTATTTTAAGCATTTACGTTCTCTGAAACGCTTCCTTCTTTATTCTGAACGTGCACACGCCCCGCACTGCTGTGCATTTCAGTGTGGTTTTCTTCCAGAAGCCCTGGTGGACCTGATGTCGGTGGTGGTGAGGATGTGCCCTTCTGTTTGCAAGAGCAGCCACTTTGCAGTGCTCCTCGGGGCCTACGGCGCCACGCTCAGCATCCTGGGTGAGGGTGTGGGGACCGGGTGGTGGGAGCTGGCGGTGTGGAGACTGGGCGGTGGGACCGGGGAGGGTGTGGGGACCGGGTGGAGGGACCACAAATGTGTATAAGGAATAGGATGCTGTCACCGGGAGGTTTTCTAAACTGACTCCCAACTGACTTCTAGACCAGAAGATTTTACTTCTCCTCCGGGCGTATGAGCAGAACAACCTCAGCCTCATTGACTTCAGGTGAGTGTTGGGCCCGGAGGCGTGAGCGGCAGAATTGGAGGCAGCAGCCTGAGCCTGTGACTCACGCTCTGCACAGCGAGCGCCACACCCGGGATTGTCTCTCGGGGAAGGGTGTGCGGGGCGGACCCCTCAGCTCACACTCCAGCTCCGGCGTGGGCTGCTCTGGCCTCCCACCTGAGGGTGCTCTCCGGTGGCCCAGCCTGCGTGGCTGGGCCGCGCCGCTGGTGGACAGGTGTGTGTCTGTCGTCAGTCTGCCCCTAGATTTACTCCTGGTTCAGATGTCATTTACCGGATTTTTCTGAAAACCTTTCTCTTCAGGGTTTGCTTTAGGTGGGAATGACTTGCGTGGGGACGTGGGAGAAGAGTGAGGAGCGCTGACCGGGTGTTAAACCCACTCTTCCCCATCTGTGTGTGTGTGTGTGTGTGCGCGCGCGCGCGCACGTGCGGTGTCTGTCCCTGGATTTGTCTCTTTCCTGTCTGTCTGGCTTTCTCTCTGTGTTTGTCTTGTCTGCCTGTATTTCTCTGTCTCTGCTGGGTTCCTAGGACTGCTTGCCGGCCTCCGTGGTGAGCGCAACCCTGGGCTCCACGGGCGGGCTGACTCCTCTCCCCGGGGCCCCGCCTCAGCTCTGCGAGGGCCGGGGCTAAGCTGTCTGTAGACAGCATCTGAGAATCTCTTTGCTGCCCTGGTTTCTTTTCTCCTTACCCTTTGGGACCAGCACCCTAGCGTTATGAGGTGCTTTTTGTGCTAAGACAGGAAGTAAGTTTTCTGGGCCAAGGAAAATAGTTCAAGAGAACTCTTCAGGGAAGAGAAAAAAAATTTCCCTTGTAGAATATTTAGGGAAAAAAAGAGATTAAAGATGTATTAACCTAGAACCCACTCCCAACCCCCCAAAACAATAGCAAAAGCAATTAAAAAAAATCATTTTCTACCTCTTAAAGAGTGCCCAGGTCATGCATGAACATTCTCCTTCCCTTCCCCTCACGGCCTCACCCTCTTGCTGCCTTGGAGCTGGTGCCACGGCCGCTGTGCCCTTTCTAGAATAAACAGCCCTGTGTGCACGCGAGAGAGCAGAGGACACAGAAGCAGTTTCCCTCACGGCAAAGAGCGCACCGTCCTCCCCACCCACCTCGGCAGCAGAACGCCATCTCGGGGTTGACAAAAGTCCCACGAGGTGGCCCCTTGTGCACAAGGGTGAGGTTGGGCTCAGCTCCTGGGAGAAGAGGGTGTGAGCAGAGGACGGGCAGCTCACGGCACCCTGTGCTGCTCAGGAACAGACTTAGGGTGGACGTCGCAGCCGCACTGTTAGGCGGGGGCACAGGCCTGAGTCAGAGGCCGTGCCAGCGGGGTGGGCTTGTCCCGCGCCCTGCCTGTTCGAAGCCAAGGCCACCAGGCCCCCTAAAGAAGGGTCTTCGCTTTCTAACTTGAGTGTCGGCTGTTGACTAGCATGGAAATGAGTCTATTTAAAAGAATTCCGTTTAGAAGTAGTTAACTCAATAGATGCTCGCTGAGTACCTGCTGTTTACAAGGCCCAGTGCCCGGCACTGTTGGGAATACCAGGAGGAGTAAAACACGGGCTCGCTGTCTGTTAGGGGATCAGATTGTCCTAAACGTGACTCTTTAAATTGGCTTCTGATTTACACACGTGCTGTCAGCCAGCTGTTCCAGGGCACACGGGAGCATGCTGTCCCCTGGGGAGTCAGGGAAGACTCCAAGACCAGGTTGACACGGGAAGGGCAGGGAGGGACTTGACTGAGATGAGGTTGGTGGAGGAGCCTGGGGGCATTGGGTGGAGGGAGTGGCATCTTGACAGGTGGGAGGTGGGGAAGTCAGAACATCCCTGGGAATGGTGAGCAGGTCAGCTTGTCCGAATCATGGGTATGTCCTGTCTCCCCTAGAAAAGGTGGTGGGAAGGCCAGACAGGTTGGTTGGGAAGAATTTTGAGTACCAGCCTGAAATGTTCCTGTTTCCATCCAGGGGACGGCAGAGAGCTGATAGACATCTGGGGGCAGAGAAGTGGCCCTCAGCACAGCTGGGCTTTCCGGGAGCACCTCCAGTGGTGGGGAGGTCGATGAGCAGAGAGCAGGGACAAGGGTGGGGAGGAGGAGGGAGGCCTGTGTCATTTTCCAGGCGGAAGGCGAGGTGGCCTCTCCAGGCAGCTGCCGTGGGGGCTGGTGGTGTGAAAGGAAGTGGTGTGTATGTGGGGGACTCTGGAGGTGGAGACAGCTCAAGGCCGTGTAGGCAGAGCTGATCTGCTCGCGGCCACATGTTGAATGGGGAGAGGTTTGTATCAGTAAAGCATCATCGAGCTGCCAGGGTTCTGGCGCAGTGGTCCAGCACAGACTCAGGAACCAGATGCCCCAGCTTTGAATTCCTGCTCTGCCGCTTACCAGCTGGGCAGCTGACCAGCTGAGCTACCTTCCAGATCCTTTCTGTGCCTCTTTTCCTGTTTTGCAAAAAGGGGATGATAATAGCACCTACTTTATGAGATTGTTGTGCAGATTAAGTGAATTATTACATCTAAAAGGCTTAGTGTCCGTACATCATAAACTCTCCTTAATCGTCGGCTCTGTCATCATCCTCAGCGCCATCACCGCACCCTCATCGTTGTCAGCCTCTCCATCACCCCTCCTTCCCCCTAAATGGTGGATTAAATGACAGAAAACATGAACTGCCGTTGGTACCTGGCACATGCTAACTGCTCAGCAAAGCTGCTGACAGTGGTCATGTCATCGTCTCCTTCATGACCTCTGCTCCTGGAGGGGCCTGTGACCAGCCTGCTCTCCCCTCCGGCTCTAGGGTGCTGCTCTGGGGCCCAGCCGCTGTGGAGCATCACAAGACATGCCGGAGCCTAGGCAAGTCGCTGTGGCAGCAGCCGAGCGTTGGGGACATCCTCCGCCTGCTGGACCGGGACCGCGTGATGAAGACTATCCTGCACTTCCCCCAGACCCGGAGGCTGCTGCCCCGCGAGGTGCGGGGGCTCGGGGCGAGGCCATGAGGGAGCCATCACGTCCCGTGGGTGCTATTCTGCCCGCCCCTCCGAGGGCTCCGATTACACCCTCCGCGTCAGCCGCTGTGAAATCCAAGCACTGTTTTTCTTATACTTTGGTAACTTAGAAGTAAAATTCCAACCATATGCAGAGGTGCAGAGACAGGACCCCACCACCCAGCCTCAACAGTTGTCAGCACTGGCCACGCTTGTTTCATTTATAACTTCTTCCCCCAAAAGCAAATCCCAAAGACATCATTTAAAGTACAAGCACTGTTTTTTACAACATTCACGTATTACGTTTCTGAGGTTGAGCTGCACGTTCTGTTTGTTTTGGGCTGTTTCAGGATGCACAGGAACTGATATTTAAAGACAAGAGCACAGCCGATCTCGACGGCCTTTATGACCCCTGCTTTCTCCTTCATCTCTTCAGTGAATTGACCCGGCCAGGTAATTGCAGCCTTGGGGGTGGGGGTTACTATTACCATAATTACCACATTAGGACCTTGATCGTGAAAATAATTCTTGAAGGAACGCAGCTGCCTTCTCACTTTTCCATTCCAGTGATTTTCAGCAAAGCGACAATTCATGTTTTGAACGTACAGTAATTTTTTTAAGGGCATGTATAGTTTTAAAATCCAGAGCATCCCTATGTCTTCGATGTTTTCCTAACCCTTAATGCCAAGAGCTGCTTCTGAATTTTCACTAGATAGTGGTCATCTACCAGCAGAAATGAGAGATTTTGTCCTTGAGAATCAGTGAGAGCCTGCCGAGGTTGGCTTTTTCTTGGTTTAAGTATATTTTTGAAATTGCATTTTGTGTCTACTAGCCTGAGGGTGGAAGTCCTTGCGGGTGAACAGATGGAGGAGAGACAGAAAGAAGAAAAAACATGTGCGTGTACCACACTGGTGAAGACCAGGGTCTGACTCCCAGGCTGGTGGGATCTGTTGGTTTGGGGCATTTTGTCATGATTAGTGGGTAGTGATGTCTCAGTGTGGTTTGAATTTGCATTTTCCTCAGGGCTAATGATGTGGAAGATCTTTGGTAAAAATGTCAGTTCGTGTGTTTTGCCCATTTATCCTAATGGACTTGTTCCTTTGTTTTGTTCTTACTGTTGAGTTTTGAGGGTTCTTTATATATGGTAGATAGTAGTCCGTTGATACGTAGTTTGCAGGTGTTTTCTCCCAGTGTGTGGCTTATTTTTCTACCCTCTTAACAGACTTTTTCAAAGAGCAAAAGTTTTTGATTTTGATGAAGCTGAGTTTATCAGTTTTTCCTTTTATGGGTTGCATTTATGGTGTCAAGTCTTAAGAAATCTTTGCCTATCCCTCGATCCCAAAGATTTTCTCCTGTCTTTATTTCTGAAAGTTTTATAGTTGTAGGTTTTACATTTACATCTGTGATCTGTTTTGAATTAATTTTTGTACAAGGTGTGACCTTTAGGCCCAGTTTCATTTCTTGGCCTGTGGATGTTCTGTTCCAGCCCCATTTGTCTATCTGCCATCTCCTCATCCTTCCTCCCAGTTACAGCCGGGCAGGGCGGAGTCCCAGCTCCCTGCGCTGACACCTCCTCCTGGAAGGGCAGGAGCGGCCCATCACTGCTCCTCACGTGGCCTCCACGGGCACCAAGCCGGGAGCCCTGTCCTTCCTCTGTAGTAAGTGCCCAGTGGGGACCAGCAGAGCTGTGACTACAGACAGGGTGCGGTGAGAGAGGCCAAGGCCTGTACTCTGCCTGTCTGCTCGTTGAATGGCCAGCGTGATGCCGGAGGAGCTCCCCGACTCCTTCCTCCCGGACGTAATGGCCACGTGGATTAGGTGCTCCGGGAGACTGCGCCACTGATCTCCTGTTTTCTTCCTCTTTAGACGTGAAGTTGTCTTTTTATACTCAAATGCTCCTCCTTTGAACAGATTTGCTGATCCTCCACCACTGCCCTTTAGTTCCCAACAGGAAGACGAGAGGGCTGTGTTCCCAGAGGCTGCCCATCAGTAGCCCCTCCACAAACGCTGGGTCCTATGGCTAAGCTAGATTTTCTTTGCAAGAGAGCAGGGGCATTTCATTCCGGGCAGATGTCAAAGGATGGCAACGGCAGGTGGATCTCTTAATAGCCTGGCGACTCTTAGCAGTGACTAAGTGAGGCACGTCTCTAAGCCCTCTGACCCCTCCATGCCTTGGCGGTGCTGGCGAAGTCTGTTTCTCATCAAACATGAAAATAGATTTCCCACAGTCTAAAAATATGCAACTTCAGTCAATTATAACAAATCATTTAGTCTGTTGATCTATCTCTCAGTAGAGCTTTTAGGAGACGGAAGGCCAAGGTTTGGAAAACTCTTAATAGAAAAATAGAATCAAGGCAGTGTTTTTCTGAGTCCTGAATATTGCCCTTTTGGGTGGCGGTAGCGAGAGGGCAGGCAGGCTCTGGAAGGCCTTTTGTGAAGAGAGGTAGGTGATAAATGCTCTTGCAAGTTAGGGAAATCTCTAAATACAGCCTATTTTACGTTTTACTGGTATAATATAGATCAAACAAAGTTCATCATCTGATAAAAGGAAGCCCACCAGCTCACCAGGAGACGAAGACTCCGAGCAGGAAAATGAGAAGTTGAACAGACCAGAGATCTGTGAACAGCTTAATGTCCAGTGTAGACCAGGTTTACTGTAGTTGAATTAAGCCACAAATCTTTTTTTTTATATTATTATTTTTTAAAGTTACTCCATTTACTTTTGCCCTGGTGGATGAGTAAGCATGAACAATGTCTAATATAAACTTTTATTAAAGTGTGATACGTAGGAACCCACACAAGTCATATACGTGTGGCTTGAGTTTTGGCCAAACCTCCAGCAGATAAAGGAACGGAACCTAATAACAGTTCCTCAGGCCCCTCCCTGGTCAGTACTCCTTCCTTCCCAGTGGGAGCCAGTGTCGTGTATTTGAACTTTATGTAAATGGCATTAAACACTATATATTTTTTGTATCAGTTCCATTTATCCACATTATATTTATGAGATTTGTCCTTGCTGTGTGTAGCAGAAGTTCTCTGTGGCATGTTTTTACTTCCTGCAGTGGCACCTGGGTCCAAGTGTTGCTAAACATTTTGCAGTCCTAAATTGAGTGTGTGATTAGTTTTTACGTGTAGAGGCCAGGCTTCGGAGAAACTAGTCTTACTGCTCCATTTCAGCCCTTCGCTGAAAATGGGAACCTGTTTTCTTAACCCCACTGCTACCCTTGTTTGAGTCCTTGGCTGAGAGGCAGGGCCAGCCAAGGCTGGTAGCAATGGCAGTGACAGATGCTTTTCCCACAGCAGATTCTTGCCCTGAAGAGACCTGGGCTGAGAGCTTAAGCTCCTAATTCACACATGCCACGGAACAGGGAGGCCTGTGTGCGGCTCTCCGAGCCTTGTCACCAGGCCACCGGACACAGGCTCTGAGGGCCCCTCCTTGTGACGAGCCTTCTGGCCAGGCCGCCCCTTGGGAGGTTGTGTGAGAGGAGGCGTGAGGGAGAGCTCTTCATCCTCCCACGGGATCTGCACTAAAGCCCATAAAGCATGGGGTGCTTTTCATTTTCATCCTTGTAATTGTCCTGGTTAAGCCATTTTGATCTGAAGATCTGTTATCACAAGGCCACACTGCTGTTTATGAGGCTCTTGAGACAAAGAGAATGGCTTTTATAACTATTTTTAAGTAGCATATTATATTTTCAATACCCGGAGGCAGTTCTTTTCCATACATGTTACAAAGCCAAGCCTTCCGGAGAATAACAGAAATGAGCACAAAACATGAAACTGACTTTTCCCCATGGACGTGTGGAAAATCCTTTTCTCTTAGAGAATGTCAGTGATTACTAAAAATATCCCTACCAGCTGAGTACTAGCTATTTTTAGTGAATGTGATATTAAATGTTTAGAGTTCTCTTTCTCGAATATATTCTATTTATATGTTTTTTGTTATGTAAGTATGTAGGTGTATCTTAAACACATTTCATCTTTTCCAAAACAATACAGTTTTATGCCACAGTTTGTTGCTTTGTAAAGCGTTCAGGTTTTTTCCCGCCCTTATCAAAGTAGTCACTTGTTAGAAATGAGAAAATTCAGTCCATAAGCTGTTAGAGCCCAGGAGTCTTCTGATTGTTCTTTTTCCATCCTTTTACTTTTTTTCCCTTCCAGTTTTATTGAACTATAGTTGGCGTGCAATTAAGGTGTGCAGCATAATGATTTGACTTACATACGGCATGAAATGTTCACCACAGTAAGTTTAGTGAGCATCCATTATCTCATGTAGATAGAAAGTAAAAGAAAGAAAAAATTTTTTTTTTTTTGTGAAGAACTCTTCGGATTTACTTTCTTAACAACTTTAACGTAGAACATATTGCAGGGTTGATTAAATTATGTTGTACGTTACATCCTTAATATTTATTTATCTTATAACTAGAAGATTATACCTTTTGACTGCCTTCATCCAGTTCCCCCTCCTTCTACCCCTTGCCTCTGGTAACCACAAATCTGGTTTATTTTTCTATGGGTTTTTTTGTTTGTCATTTTTAAAGTATAATGGACCTAAAACACTTTGTTAGGTCGTGGTACACAAAATAGTGATTCAGTATTTCTGTATATTTCAAAATGATCACCACTTTATCCTTTTACTTAAAGTTTGCATTTGATATTAAAAGTGGTCTCTTGTAGACAGGATATACTTGGGTTTTGCTTTTTTATCCAGTCTGACCATCTCTGCCTTTTAGTCAGAATGTGTACACCTTTTACATTTAATGTGATAATTGATCTGATTCCACCTTATTGTCTTTATTGGCTTTTAGCTATAATTTGTGTGTGTGCTTGTGAGTGTGTGCGTTGGTTGCTTTGGGGTTTATAGTATACATCTTCAATTTATTGTGGCTTACTTTCAAGTGAGTTTATACCACCTGATGGATAATAGAAGCACCTCACAGTAGTATCGCTCCATCTCTCCCCTCCTGGCTTTGTGCTGTAATTACCATACGTTTTCCGTCTACATGCTTAAAAGCCCATAATATGTGGTCACTTTTGCTTCAGATTGCCAGTTACCTCTTGAAGGGATTTAAATATTTTATTTTCACTCCATAGTTATCATTCCTTGTTTTCTTCATTCCTTCATGTAGATCCAGATTTCCATCTTCTATAATTTTCCTTCTCCCCAAAATACATTGTTTAAGAATTCTTGTAGTTCAAAGCTGCTGGTGATAAATTCTTTCAGGTTTTTTATATCTGTAAAATCCTTTTTTCTCTCTGTGTTTCAGTTTGGATAGTTTCTGTGGCTGTCTTTAGGTTCATTGATCTTTTTTTCTGCAATGTCTAATCTGCTGATAATTCTATTCAGTGCCTTTTTCGTCTTTGACATCTTAACTTTCATCTGTAGAAGCTTGATTTGAGTTTTCATATCTTCCATGTCTCTGCTTAACATGCCCAGTCTTTCCTCTGAAAATGTAGAATTCAGTGATAATAACTGTTTAAATGTCTTTCTGTACTAATTCTGTTACCTGTATTATATCTGGGTCATTTTCAAATGGTCAATTTTTTCTTTATAATGGGCCATATTCCTGCTTTTTTGAATGCCTGGTTATTTTTATTGGAAGCAAGACATCGTGAATTTTACTTTGTTTGGTGCTGGTTATTTTTATATCCCTGTGAGTGCTTGTAAGCATTTTTTTTTAATTTATTTATTTTTTTTTTATTATTATTATTTTTGTGAGCTTTGTTCTAGGGCACACTCAGGTTACTTGGACATGGTTTCATCCTTTCCAGTGTTAAACTTCTAAGCTCGGTTAGGTGGGACCGAAGCAACATTGAATCTGGGACGAACTTTGCCCCACAACTGAGGTGAAATCCTCCGAGCACTCTGCCCTAGCCCATGAGGATTCCACCCTGGCTGGTGGGAACAGGAGCTACTTCTGGGCATGTGTGAGCCCAGGGTTGTCTCCGCCCATCCGTTTGGGTGCTTCTTTCCCAGCCTTGGGTGGCTTCCTCTTGCGCCCTTGCTGACTGGCACTCAGCTGAAGACTGACACTCTCTCAGTGGCACGCTCTTCTCCAGGACTCTGCCTTGTCACTTCTGCCCCCTCGACCTCCCAGGTTCCCGCCTCATCCACTCAGAGTTCCCCAGTCTCTGCCTAGTTTGCCTCCCAGATGGGACGATCAGAAGGTCGCCTTGTTTCCCATCTCGCAGGGACCGCTGTCCTTTGTTGCTTCATGTCCAGTGTCTTGAAAGTCCTGGGTTCATTCCTTCAGTCATTTTTTCGTTGCTTGAATAGACAGCTGAATCTGGTTCCTATCACTCTCTCCTGGCTGGAAGTAGAAATCCTGGTTATTCTTTGATATGGTGTAAAAATTGAGAAAGACAGAGGAGGGGAGCTGTATGTAAGCTGCCCGCCCCCACCAGTCTGCCCTGGGTGGGATGCTGGCAGAGCTCCGAGGATCCAGCTGCTTCTGAGGGAGGACAAACAGAGCTCGCCCAGCGGGTAGGTCCCGGTCCCCTGGTGCCTCAGCCTCTCAGACCTTGTCACCCCCAAGCAGGGCTGCAGGCATGGCCACAGGTCTCCGCTTCATGGTTTCTAGTGACTTCTACACTTTTGGACAACCACCTATTTGGAGACCATTATGCGATTATGTAGCTGTTTGGACTAAGAAGTAGCTGATTATTGTCACTTTTCTTCTTGATTTACTCTTAGGTTTTTTTTTTTAACTGCAAGCATTATTCTTTTACAAGTCTAATAACTTTGGGGAGAGAAGAGGAAAAAAGAGTTTGACTTTTAAAAAATATCATCAGTGGTATATGACTCATTCGGGATAGTCATTTCAGTTGGTTCATGTTTGGTTCCTAACTTAACTGGGTCACCAGTCCCTCATTCTAGGTGATTATCATGGCCAAATACCGCATAATCATTTTTAAACTAAGTGACATATGTCTGTTCTGATGTTTTTCTTGACAGTTTTTATATTGTAAAAAGGCCTAGGTTTTTACTAAAGAGGATTTCAAGTGTCCTGAATTTCAGGTGTGGTCAGGCGGGTCCCCTCATGGATCTGACCTTCTCTCTTGGTCACATCCTCTCCTGGAGCGATATGAGTTTCTCAAGGCCTCACAGGTGATGAATGGATATTAGTCAGCAGGCTCTCTGGCTGCAGCTTTTGCTCAAGCTCGGTGAGCTGCTCTTCTGTATGATTTTTGTTGTTTGTTTGAAGAAAGAACTAGGGTTGCAGAGTGGATATAAGTTAATCCTTCGTCAAATTGATGGTCCAGCTCAGGCTGGTTTGCACTGGCTCAGTTTCCCAGCATCACTGCCTTATGTATTTTCCTCGGCAGCATTTGTAGTTAGGAGCTCAGAGTCAGCAGACTGGATGAGGTAGACACCGTGAGCTGGCTTTCCTGCTGGCACCCAGTGGGACCTTACCTCTGTTCTCTGGCTCATTGAGTATTTGTGAGATGTAATGAAAGAATCCTGGTTGGGATTTACAAGCATCTTAAAAGCTGGAGGCATGGTGAGGATTGCCATGGAAGGGGAGACAGTCTTTTATCCAGTGTCAGAAGAAGTGAAGGGGAGCAGGAGAGAGACTTGCATTTCTTGTACCTGGCACACACACGTAGCCAACAGTGGTAAAATGCAAAAGGAAATCGAATTCTCCGTGTTGCACAAGCATTGTGGAATCGTGTGTGTGTGCGTGTGTGTGTGTATGTGTGTATTTAATGCTATATTCTATTTCTCGTAGAATTTGTGGTGGATTGTCGAAAATTTGTGGATTCCAATGCTCTGGGCCTCACCGTCATGGCCCTCAGCAGCTATGACCCCCAGATGCGAGCCGCGGCCTACTCCATCCTGGCGGCCTACTACTCGCAGCTGGAGGGGGCGCGGTTCCGGGAGCAGTCCCAGGTGAGCGGGTGGAAGGACCCCTCAGGAACACAGAGGCGTGCTGCCAGGAGACCTGAGATAAAGAACAAAAGTCTGTCCCCTCCTGGGGGATGATGCTAGAGGTGGAGAGAGGTCTCCCCTTATAAACGCTCTTCGTGCATTGTGGGTGGGCAGAGCAGTTCTCATTTCTGTCAACTGTTTCCCTGGTCTGAAATCAGAGGTTACAGCAGCTGTCGTGCGGGACATATGAGGCCTCAGAAGCCATGCCCTGAGCTGTAGGGAACAGGAGTCACCTTTGGTGGTCCCCAAGGTGTGAGGAGCAGGCCTACAAAGCTGTGGTTTAGGCTGCTTAAGACCAGGCTGGTCACAGCTGTTCCAAAAATTCTCTTTTTTCCCCTTTTTTCGTGGTTTTAAGGTACTGTATCTCTTGGATGTTGTCCGGAATGGGATCCGAACTCAGAACATGAGACTCACCTTTGTCCTGACTCTCTTCATTGCCAAAGCAGCCCTGCAGATTTTGAAACCAGGTACCACTGATTGAAATCTGTCATAAAACTTTGTTTTGTTTTGGTTAATGGTGAAAAGTCATAGAATGTTGGTACTCTTAGAGACCACATTCTTTGAGCCTAATGTGGTCATTTTCAGATGAGGAGACAGCCTCCCATCCGAGGCCCCCAAGGTCAAATAGCTTGTCCAAAGCCCCACAATTAGTCTGAAGTCAAGTTGCCATTAGAATTCAGGTTTGATTTTTATCTGTTCCTATATCATTTTTATTATGTGGTTTTTTTTTTCTTTACTTTAGAAATTGTGGGAGGAAAGAAGGTAGTTAAGCATTTGTAGACTCTAAAGAAAATCCCAGCAGAGGTCACAGTGAATGGTTCTCGGCCTCCTGTCCAGTCTGTGCCACCTGGGCGAGCCGTGTCCCACCTGAGACCTCATGTCGGGGTCGCGGCGCAGGGCAGCAGCGGTCGTGGGTGGGCTCTGCGGCTGCAGGCGGTCTGCACAGACGGGAGGCAGTGATCCGATGGTGGGACGAGGGGGAGGAGGTGTCGGCCCCGTTGCACTCTAGAGCCAAGTGTCCCAGGGCATGTCTGAGCCCTGTCTTCTCTGTGGTGGTTCCCCCTGTGAGAGGCCAATGGGTTGGGTGTTAGCTGTGCTGCCTTATGTGAGGCCAAGCCTGGCTGACTGGAGCTTAGGCAGGAGGCTGATGACTGGGCGAGGGGAGCGATGTCTCCGAAGGACCCGACGTCCAGGAGTGGTTTCTGAACCACGAGGGCAGCCTGTATGCGTGTAGAACTAAGGTGTCCTACTGCATTTTAATTCTTGAGAACTAATACCCTGGACAAGGATTAGAAAGCCCCCAAGGACAGGGGTTTTTGATGTTTGATGTCCAGCCCCCCACTTGCCGGCTCCAGCCGACTGCGGGGTGTCCTGTTGGCACCTCTGTGAGTGACTGTCTCCCTGTGTCCACAGAGGAGCACATGTACCTGAAGGTCAACAAGTTCCTGCTGTCCCACGAGTACCTGAACATGAGCAAAGTCCCAGGCTTCTACCAGTTCTTCTACAGCTCCGACTTTGAGGTACTGCTCCCGCAAAGTCTCCCCAGTCTCTTTCCGGGCGCCCCAGTCCGGGCTGTGGGCTGTGCAGCGTGGGTGGGACAGGAGGCCAGGCGGGTGGGGGCGATCACAAGCCTGCGTGCAGAGGCACTGTCCAGCCCACACGGTGATTCTTAGGTGGCTTCTCAGATGTCGCAGGGCCCTGTGTGTCATGGTATCTTCATTCTATTCTTTTGATGAATCACTGAATCGAATATTAAATGTGCTTTTAGAGGACACCCCCCTGAATTAGCACAGTTCAGTGTTTGAACTTGACCTGGTCCTTTATTCCTGACCTGAAGAAGCCAAATCAGAGAGGAGGTGGAGGACTTTTAATAGCACGTCCAGAAACAGGGGGTTGGGACTGCGGTGCCGCCGTCTGTGCCACCACCCGAAAATCGTGGTATTTGAAGACAAGGGCCTTCACTTACTCAACTAGTGTCTTGTTTGCTTGGGTTACAGCAAAAAGCGGAACAGGAGTGGGTGTTCGGGATTCTGCGCCAGGGGCTGCGGGACAAGCACTGCTACGAGCTCTGCGCGCGGCGGGGCGTCCTGCACGTCCTGCTGGCCTTCTTCCACAGCCCGCTGTGCGGCGGCCAGGCCCAGGTAGGCGGCATCAGGGGGCCTGAGGCTCCGCCCTCCCTCCGGGTCTGTTTGCAGGTCAAGTCCGACGGATTCTAACTCCAGCCTGACCCGCTAGTTTGACAAGAGCTTCCTGTGCCCTCGCCCGAGGGCGGGGCCTGCGAAGAGGGAGGAGCTGCTGAGTAATCACGAGGCTCTGAGAGTTCTGGAGACACATGGCCCCCCCAAAACAAGTGAGGTGCTTGGAGACACTCAAGCCACCAGGACGTCACGTGGTGCACAGAAGCCATAAGTCACCCAAACTGGGAAACTAGGGCCAGGGGTCGAGGCTGCCCGCCTCGCCGCTGACGAGGGCATCGGCAGTAAGCCCTGCCCCCTGCGGCGGGAGCGCGTGCGGAGCGGGTACACGCAGGGGCCGCTGGGGGGGGGTACGGGGGGAGCCTGTGGCATTTTGATTAATTCCTAGTGCGGTCAGCTTTTGTTTCTGATATTATGTACAATGCGGGTAAACAGCAGTGACTCAGGACTCAGAGACACATTTGAATAAACTGAATTTAAATAGGGTAGATTCTTATTTTTTATGGCTTGTGAGCTTTCTAGAGCACCCAGTTAACAGTTCTGGAGACAGTCCCATCTTTCTGTCCTCCTTCCCAGGTGGTAGAATTGAGGTGATGAAATGAGCCTTCAGCAGCTCGTGGCTGGGCTAGAGATGGGTCCGCATTCTCTCCCCACTCAGGCTGCTGGGGATGCAGGCCATGTGGTTTCCACACTGAGTCTTTGCTGGTGATGGATCAGCAGACGTAGCGTCCACCCGGGCCAGTGACTGCTGTGGCGGTCTGTGTACTCTAGCTGTCGCTGGTGGGGAGGGGGGTGCTCCCGCACGGCCACCACTCTTACAGACTTATCAGATGTCACATGCAGCCACCACCTGTCATTGTAACATACCATGCTGTGGTTTAAAGTATTCTTTTGAGCAAATGAGTCAAGTTTCCCCACTGAAGAGTGACTTTTTTGTTTTGGGTTTTCAGAATTGGATTTTGGAAATTCTGCAGAATGCTGCCCGGGACGCCAAATCTGCCTACGAGATCCTGCGGGACTACAGCCTCTTGACATGGATCTTACACATCCTCGAGAGCAAGTGAGCACCTTGTGTGTGAGAGACCTTGTGTGTGAGAGGTGTGTGTCAGGCAGAGGGCGGGGACGGAGACAGTGGCATCTCCCTCTGGCTCTGGTGTCAACTGGAAATGTCCAGTAGCATCCATGTTCTCCAACACAGTGTCCCCTACCTACCTGTCACCAACCTCCTGGTGATTGGTGATGCCGATATGGCATTTCTTCACTTTAAATCTGTCTTCTGAGCCTCTTGTCTGCCGTGGAGTGACAGGCGCCAGCTTCTGCCTGCGTTTGGCAGAGGCACTGCCCACTGACCAATCTGTCCCAGCTGCGCAGCCCAGAGGCCTCCCCTGGAGTGGTGTCCTCCATCTGAGGTGTCAGGACGGCTGCCCTGCCTGCGGTAGAAACCAGGAGCCCTCAGTGTCAGGAGCACTCGTTTGGCGATGTGGGTGACAGTCCTCCACTCCCGCCCAGGGTCAAGGTGCTCGGTGAGGGGACAGTGCCCGAGTGCATCCAGGACCAGGTGGGCATTTGTCTTGTTATCTGGGGGGACTAACCACTAGGATTCAGTTTCTCACCGTTCTGGAGGCCGGAAGTCTGAGATCAGGGGCCAGCGTGGCCGGGTTTGGGGAGTGCTCTCTTCATGGCTGACAGACTGCCGATTGCCTGCTGTGCCCTCACAGGGCGGGTTAGAAGGAACGGGGAGCTCTGGTCTCTCCCTCTCCTTACAGGACACCAGTCACATCATGGGCTCCAGCCTCGTGACCACATCTAAACCTAATGGCCTCCCAAAGGCCCCACTCCAAATACAGTCACATTAGGGGTTAAGGGCTTTGACACCCAAGTCTGGGGAGGGGTGGGGCACATGGTTCAGTCCATAGCCTGGTCTCTATGATTCCTGATAATCTCCTGAGTTTGAGGCTGTGTGAAAAGATGAAGACCTTGTCTCAGCAGACAGCCCTTGGCTCAAACAGCTGTCCGCGATAAGCCCAGGGATATCCAGGCTCTTCTGTGCATTTTTTAAATGAATTTTTAAAATATTCTCTAAAAGAAAGTAACACCTTACATCTAGAATGAATATATGGACATCAACTTCTAGACTGTCTCAGATTTATGAAAGGCACCGTTGGCTGATCACCTGTTCCCGGCTGTGACCTTTACGATTTAGAGTTGAGCTGTCCTCGTGGGCAGGATGGCTCTTACGATGCTGGCGGTGGCTCAGGAATATCTCTGTCGGGACTTCAGTGGTCGTCTGGTTAGAAAGGAGGGTTGGGACCTTGCCCTGGGATGGAGCTGCGTTCCTGTGGCAGGCACCTGCTGTTACTCAGACGCTGTGCTGTGTGGGGGCTGTGGTGGGGGGTGAACCGCTCGGGTGTCCACCCCATCGTGGTCTCTTCGTGGTTCCCACCTCCGCTCCCCTGGCAGATGTCAGTGGGAGGAGAGGATGTGACAGAGGGTGGACTTTCCCTCTGTTTCAGGTTTCTGGAGACTCCACTGCTGTCCAACGTCATCTCCCTGCTGCACACGCTGTGGGTGACCAACCTGGGGGACAGAGGAATGGAGGTGGGGGAGCAGCCTCCTCGCAGCCTTGGGTCCCAGGAGCCCCCAAAGCTGCTCGCCCTGCACTTGGTCAACGAGTTCCTCTACGTTCTCCTCGTGCTCATGAAGCACCTGAGGTGAGGCCCTCCCCGGTGGGTGGGACCCCTGGGAGGTCACCCACGGGCATCCCCTGGGTCACGACTCCACAGGTGGGCTTCGGGCCAGGATTGCCATCATTGTGGTGACGTCAGGAAACCTGTTTCAGCTCTTCCTCTCTCCACTTCGACTTTACGAGGTGCCTTTCAAGACCATGAGAACTTACACACTCAAAACACCTCAAATGTGTCCTGTGAGATCATTATTAGCAGACATACCATCTACTTGGAGATCAGGATTCAGGCACTCAAAATGATGTTTTGTAGAAAGAACATATTTTCCATGATGTTAACCCAGGGAAGTTAAGCTTTTCCCAGACTTGCTTCTACCTTCATTAGCCAGCGTGGGCTCTCTTATCCATGAATTTCCTTGAAAATTTCAGTATTTTCATCTGATCCCTTGGAATTATGCTCTTGGTTTCCACAGGGGCGCTCAGTTCCTTTCAGACCCTGCTGTGTTAGAGCGAACACACTGTGCACTGGTGTTTCTGCTTTGGGAACGGGTATGCTGATGGGAACCAGAATGACAGCAAGTAGATTGTTATCTCAGAATGAAAACTTTCTTGACAAAGAGCAGGTGTTTGGTTTTCTGTTGTGAATTCAATTGTCGAAGCAGTGCCGGACCACCCTTGTTTCTTATTTTGGGTTGTCCAGGACACCTTGGTCTCTGAGAACTGATTGTCATTCAGAATAATAATGATTGTAATTTAAAAATTGTGCGGAGCAGATGATTTTGAACTTTCAGTTCCTTAGAGCTCAGAGGGCTGTGTGTCCTCCGGGGCCCACCGTCAGGTTTGGCCATGGAGGTGCTGTCCTGGGGCTTTTCTGAGCCTTTTCACTGGGAGCTCCTGAGACGGAAAGGCAGTCCTGGAGTTGTTCTGCAAGGCGGCAGTGCCCTGACTGCCAGGCTCCTCCGAGCCCTCCCAGTTAGCTGTGGTTTCCTGAGTTTTCTGTGCCTCCAGGGTGGAGGCCAGACTCCGGTCCCCTTCTTGCCTTCCCTGGAGCGGCTCGCTTTTTCCTGCTCTGTGTGTTGGGGTCCATGCTCTTGTCTGTTGAGGACGGACTGTTTGCCCTCCAGGTCCGTGGCTGGTCTGTTGTCCAGCCGTCTTGGTCCTGGGCTGCGGGGTGAGGAGGTGGCTCTTGCTCAGCAGGTGTCCTTGGCTCCCAACAGGCCCACCTTGGCCTCTGCCCAGCTGACTGGCTTCTTTGAGACACTCGACTCCGTGCTGAGGTACCGGGCCACCGTCCTGCAGGCCTTCAAGGACCTGAACCGCTTCACTGTGAATGAGGCCGTGCTGTCCACCAGGGATGTCCTCGTCCTCCTGCACAAGTGGAGCCTCATTGAGAGGGACGTCCGGCTCCAGGAGGACCTGAGAGCAGCTGCGGAGAAACACCAAGTCAGGGAGCTGCTAAGTGAGTGTCAGACCCATGACCTGTCTTGTGCTCCCCGGAATGGGCTGGCTTCCACCTAGAACCGCCAGCGTCTGTCCCTCTCTGAGCAGTGTTTCCAAAACTGACGAAGCTTGGAGACAGGGCCTGTCTGTCCTCATAGCCCTGGTCGGGGAGGAGATGGGGACCAGGTTTTGAGTTCCAGCTCTGCTGCTCACAGGTGCTCGGCACAGCTCTAAGCACAGCCTGTAAGCTGCCCCCTCCTCTCCGGGGCACGCCTCACCGTCTGGATCTGTGTGGGGACGGGGGACACTGGTCTCACTGCTTCTCTTCTTTCTGTGTGTAACAGAAATGCTCAAAGATAAGAACAGGCCTGTCATGCCAGCCAGAGCCAAAGGCCTTCGGGGCCGGAAGAGGAGGCCTGGGGAGGCAGAGGAGATGGCCGACCCTGAGCTGCAGGCGTCCACTCTGGAGATGTGCAAGGGCCTCCTGAGATCCATATTGACCCACTGGGGGCCGGTGTTCCCCGGGCCGGAGCCCGCTCAGGAACCCACGGACCAGGCCACCCCCAAGAGCGAGGCCCCAGGCCCCGTACACACTGTCACCTCCCTGGTGGCCAGCTGGGCGCTGCGCTCGGTGGCCGAGAGCCCACTCAGCGGGGCAGGGGCTGCCGGCCTCCTGGGCTGGCTGAAGAGCCACGTTGTGCCACAGCCGCTGGTCGTGGCCGACCTTCTTCAGGACGACGCCGTGAGGAGCAGCTTATTTCGCCTGTACGGCCGGCCCTGCGACGCCGAGGGGCTGGCGGGGCCCGAGCAGGCCGTGGCCTGCCTGCTCAACACGGTCATGCTGCGGCTGCTGGAGGCCCGGGGTCCCGCGGGGAGCGCCGTCCCGCCGGCGGTCGAGGCCCTCCACCTCTCCTCTCTGAGTGCGGAGGACGGAGCCACGCAGGGTAACGCGGGGTCCTGGGCTGGGGGCTGAAGAGATGGGAGAGTGGGCTTGGGGGTGAGGAGCACCTGTTCCTTAGAGCCTGTCAGGTATTGTTAGTTAAGTATTTGGGCCCCTTATCACCACGTGAAGAATTATGTTTCTCATCGTGACCAGATGTGCCTTGTGTGTGTGCGGGCACGCAGGTCCCACAGTTTACATGCTTGGCGTCTAGCAGGTGCTTAGTAAAGGGGTTTGACTACACAGATGAAGAAACAGCAAAGGCCACAGGAGGGCGAGATTAAGCCCAGAGTTAAGCAAAGCAGAATTAATTTGTTTTATCTGCACGTTCACCACACGTTGCATTTAAGGGGTTGGCTGAGCCTGGGGCCCCGTGCATGTGGGCGGGTGACTTGTGGGCTGGTAGATTGCGCCCTAATGGTCCTGTTGTCCCTTCCTCAGCCACTGCCACGTTCCTGGTGTCTCTGTACATTAAGGATGTCTGGCTGGGGGCCCAGCGGCCAGACACCCTCTTGACCCACATCCAGATGGTCCTCGATGCCACAGAGGACGCGCAGGCTGGTGACGAGGAGGCTGTCGTCAGGCTCTGCAAGGACATGCCAGCCAGGTGCCCCTCTGTGGACGCCCAGCCGGCCGGTGCCTCCAGCTCCGGCTTCTGGGACTCGGGTTGAGCCGAAGGTTTCCGTGGAAGGCCTGCGAGATGACCGTGTTGTATACTGACTCGGTGTCCTGACAGGAAGTTGACTTTACTTAATTGACAAATAACAAGCTCAGGGGACTGTGTGTGCGAAGTGATCAGAGTCACAGGGGGCTTGGGGCCTTCGGGCCACGAGCAGGGAAGACCCTTCTTAGGGGTTCATTGTTCCTCAAAGAAATACCTCAAATTGAGGTAGCACTTCTGAACACTTAAGGGATTCGTGGATGTTAGCTGAAATGTCCAAAAATAAATCAAACTCAAGAGCATGAAGAGAGATGTTGAAGTTTCCTTTCTGTAGGAAATCATGACAACTTGTGTGGCTTTTTGAATAAATAATCCCTGCCAGTGTTGTGTTGATTGTTTTATTAAGTAAAAGGACGTCACAGTAAATCCTTAAAGTATCAAATTGACTTGACTTCTGCTTTGGGAAGATAACCTGTATTTTTTTAAATTGTGTTTCAAAGAAGGGATTGTACTTTTTATAACTTGTTAATAAATGTCTGTTTTTGTTAGGTTTCTGTGTTTTGCTTAATTGATGTTTACAAGCTACTTTTATTCCACAGAGACTTGCATTTTAGAGGTCAGATTTGACTTTTAAGATTCCTATATTAATTGATGTTGTAGCTGACACACGCTGAATAAGGAATGTCATGGGTTTCCCAGATAAAATTCAGTCCTGTTCATTTAAAGCTCTGCGTGTACCCACGTCCCTCCTGCACACCTGGGCTCCCGGGAGTCTGCTGGGCCCTTGTCCCATGTCAGCGCGCAGCATCCCTGTCTGTCACCTGAGAGACGGCTGTTTATTTGCCTGGATGATATATATAGCACTGAGGATGCCTTGGTTGCAGCTTAAACACTTACCTTTCTGTTTACCTCCAGTGGTGTTTAGACTCTCTTCTGGTTGTTTTAAAGACTTTTACCAAGAGTAATGCTGACCTGCTCATGTCCCCTTACCACAGATAGGGCCCACTGACTAGAAAGCAAGGACCTGTTACCTGCCCTTTTCCCTCCCCGCCAAAACCCCCACAGCGATGTTCGCAGAGTATTCTGAAGCCAGAATCCTTGGTTTCGATTCAAGTTGGAAAGGCCGTGTATTCCCCTCTCCCACTTCTGCATCCCTGGGGCCCATCAGTCTCCCTCCCCTCGTCCTCCCTTCCCACCACTGCCCCCAAGTCTGGTCCCCCCAAGTCTGGCCTCACCTAGAGGGGCTTTTCTTCAGTCACCTGGGATGGGGTGGTTTATGGGCTTGTGGCATGGTGCTGGCTCCTGGCCAGGGGCAGACTGTCAGGCACTAAAGAGCTAGGGTTTGGGGGGTCTCGCATCAGAGGTCACATGAAGTCACACCCAATATGGCACCCTCCTGCCACCTGGGCTTAGGCCCTGTCTGCCTTGCCAGGCTGCTTCCTCCGGGGAGATGCCTCCTTGGGCTCTGTGAGAAGTCTTGGGGAGGTCAGAGGTGTGGTTCAGGTCCCTTGACCACAGTCAGTGCCCCTGGCCAGACACACAGTGCTCCATCTTGGTAACAGTGACTGTCAGTGGCGGATGGATGGGAACTTGGGAAGCCCTCGCTGGGCGTCCTGAAAAGAGACAGATCAGCCAAGCCAACTCAGGGCCGATATTACAGAAGTAACAGTTGAAACTGAAAAGTGGCATGAAAAGATTAGTGAGTGAAGACTTTAAAATTTTTAATTCATACATACTTTATTTCCAGATATTTCTCCCCTTCCCAAAGCAAGCATAAGCACTAAGAAGGAGCTCAAGTAGGGTAAATAAAATGAGCAATGTTTGGACTATTTCCCTCTGTTGGGTGGGTGATTGCTGGCCTTGGATAAATGCACACACATGCCCACTTGTACAGTCATCCTTGCCTAGGTGCACGTCCTGCCGCTGTGAATGGCTTTCAGAGGCACGTGTGTGTCCGGGTTGGCTGGAGTTCCCCGGCTCCCTCAGCAGCAGCTCCAGTCGGTTCTACGGTCAGGAGGCTGTGTCTGCAGGGGAGGCTCGCTGGGCACGTTTCCGATGTCAGCGGATGCCGTGCGAGTCCGCGTCGAGGGCCAGTTCCCAGAGGAGAGTGGTGGGGGCCCGGGGGGAGGTGAGGGGCGAGGTGGAGGGGCTCTCTGGCTGCGGCTGCTGCTGGGCAGGACTGGCTGCTCGGAGGCCTGGTTCCTCACCCACGCTGGGCGGAGGCTGCGGGGTCCCCTGGGGGGCCCTGTGGCACAGGCAGTGCCTCCAGACGCAGAGCGGGAGGTTGAGGCTGAGACTCCAGCGGCACGTTGGGTGGCGCTGCGTGCTGTTCCTGGGGACAGAGCAGTGGTGGGCAGGCATCCAAGCTGCCTGAGAGCAGTCCTTCCCGGGGGGCTTCCCTGCCGCACCCTCCTGCCTGTCCAAGTCCCACAGGGCAGGCTTCTGGGCGAGAAGTCCTCTGCCAGGGGAGCAGTCCCCGGGGAGGGTCAGCCCGGCTCACCCAGGTTGCCCAGGTCGCCGTGGTGGAGAAATGGAAGAGAAGAGGAAGTGCTCAATGGAGACCCTGACCTTGGGGCTTCCCCTCTGACCTCTGGTCACAGCTGGGGGGGGGGAGGGGCAGGTTGACCTTCCGTCCGTCCACGTGTTTGAGTGTAGTTCATCTCATATCCGTGCCTCAGGCCTACTTGTATCATAGCCAAAAATCCATCCTCCCTGGACAGAGCCTCCTGCACTCAAGATGTTGGGGGCAGAGGGCACGTCCCGCCTGCCTTCACTTTCATCAATGAAGTGGGATGATAATTGCCTCTTGGGTATCACTAGGATGAGATGAAGCGATGTACTGATAGCGGTCTAAGCTAGAGACCTAGTTTAAACGTGGTTATCAGTGAATGAAGAAGGCCAGGAAGGGAGCGTGAGGGAGCAGAGCCCTCCTTTCTGATGGTTCAGATGATGGTAGCATGATTTTTTTCTTTTTAAGCATGGACAGAACCTTGGGAAGCAACTTGGCATTTTCCTTCCTAAATCTAACTAAGGACCCATTTGTCTGCCCTGAGCATTCCTCGTCTGTTAGAAAGTTCCTGAAGAGCATGTTCTTTAGTGAGCCATGTGGCCAATCAGGGCAAACAGTGTCAGCATTTCACCCTGTTGTAAAATTGTATGTAGCCCAGGAGATGCTCAAGACCCCTGTGTGCTCGCAGAACCGGGGAACTTTCCACTTGCAAACTGTTGTAGCACAGGGCTTGCTCTAAGTCACCTCAGAAGAGCAGAAAAGAAAGGTAATTTCATTAGTTAGTCCCTCAGGGATCTCTTAGGGGTAAATATCGGCTTAGATTCGATGTGAGTTCTAAATACTGAAAGAAAAGAATGGATTTCTTTATTGCTGGAAAGCCAATCCCTGCCTCCCACGTGTGACCCAGGGAAACCAGATCTAGAAATGACCTGTTGCATGTAGACCTGGTGGATGAGACACTGTGGGCAGGGCGGGTGGGGGAGGGGGTAGAGGAAACAGAGGCCCCTCGAGGTGGGTCTGTCCACAGGTGCTCCCGGGAACGGGCAGTGGGCTCCTGTCGGGCACAGGGGCTGCCATCTCTGGATCTTTCAGGGGCTTGGAGGCGCCTCATCCCTTCCTGTCCCACAATAGCTCTGCTCACCTCTCCCTGCTATCAGCCACCTAGGCTGACATGGTTTCCACTCCCCAAGACTTCTTGGTCCACAATGGCTTCCAGCCCTGTCTTCCTCCTGGACCCCTCAGGGCCTCCAGGCGCCAGGCCACACGTGCCCAGGGGCATTGGCCAGCCCTGGACCAGCCATCTCCTGGTTAGCTGCCCACCCCAGTCCCATCAGCTGCGGCCGGGAGAGAGGTGGTATAGGGACTCTAGTAAGCACTGTCACCAGGGCAGCGGTAGCTGCGTTGGGCAGATGAAGCTGCCTGGGAGAACCGGACAACTGTCTAGCACAGGAGAATTAACAGGTACTGAGCTCGGCTCGAATCACTACTCGGAACTCATAGATTTTACCTCCAACTTAATTTACCCACAGTAGGCATTCAATGACAGACAGTGGCCATAGATGACTCAGTGAGGGTCCCATTTTCCTGGTGAGCTGGTTGGCAAGACCTAACTAACACAGAGAGTCACCTTGGCTTCAGCTTAACTGCAACAGCTTAACTGAAATCTATTTTATACACAACAAAATTCTCCCTTTTAAAATGCAAAATTCAATCATCTTTAGTATATTACCCTGAATTGTGTGACCACCACAATCTGTTTTAGAATATTTACACCATTCCCCCTAAAATCCCTGTACCCACCGGCAGTCACTCTCCTTCCTCTGCCTCCCCCAGCCCTAGGTGACCGCTAGCTGTTCTCTGTCTCTACAGGTTTGCCTCTTCTAGGCACTTCACATCCCCGGAATCACAGGACGGTGGCCTTTAGTGTCTGGCTTCTCTCACATAGCACGATGTCTCCAAGGTTCATCCGTGTTGTAGCATGAATCAGCTTCATTCCTTTCTGTGGCCAAATAACATTCCACCCTGAGGACAGATGGTCACTCCCTACTTGGCCGGGTAAGTCACCACCGCCCCCGCGCCACCCTTACTCACCTGGTCTGCGAGGGGCCTGACCAGGACATGTAGAGCAGGATGAGAAAGAGAAACAGCACGAAAGCAGCCAGGCTCACCCAGAAGGCGATGACGATCGAGTCTGCAGGAGGGGGACACGCGTCTCCACGTCAGTGAGGGAGTTACGGGCCCCCACGTGCTGTGGGAACAGGGCCCTGAGTGTAAGCGTTCCTGGCTGTGACCAGGGAGAAGATGTTTCCATTACCCTTGTGAAGGAACAGGGCAGCAGGGACCTGGCTTTTTCCCTGAGCCACTGGCCACTGGGTCAGCTTAGGGTGGATACTGAGGGGAAAAGAGTAACCGAGATTAGGTGGCATCTCATGGATTTGCTTTATCGGCTGCTCCTGCTGCTCAGAGGATGGTTTCCGCTCCTGTCTCTCTCCCTGGGAGGGAGGAGAAAGAGCTGTGGGAAACCTCGTGTGGCAGACTGGCCTCCCCTCCCCAGTGAGGGCTGCAGTCCCTACCAGGAGCCTTTCATGACCAGCCCACTGGGGACAGCTTCAGAGACCCCAAGATGAAAGACTTAGAGAAAGGATGTGTGCAGACAATGGTGCCAGCCGGCTCCATGGAGGGCCAGGCCCTTCCCTCTGCAGAGCAGTTAACCGTGGCCCGCCCTGGCCGGCCTGCTCAGGGACACGGGGAGAGCTGGCCCCTTTCTTGGCAGTGGACAAGGGGCCAGGGGAAACCAGAAAAGACACTTAGACCTTTCCAGGCCCTGGGTCGAACCTTGCAGGTCAGGAGTGCCTTTCTCTGGGGCTCTGGTCCAGGAACATTTGGCAAGTTGCTAGGGAACTGCAGCCACCTGACAGTTTTTCTTGGTGGTTGTCTATGGCTGTGGGCACCAAGTACCAGCTCATAATTAGTGTCTGCAAGCATCTCATCCCAGACCCACATGCCCCAGGATGAGATGCCCCCAACTGGGATGTGCTAGGTGCCTACATGTGCGACCAAAGGAGGCTACTAAAGGATGCTAATCAGCAGGTAGGTATTAAGCACCTTTGTGAGCCAGGTCCTGCTGGAGGCTGTTAAGGATTCAGAGCGGGCCAACCTGGCACCCCAGAAACCACTGACACCTTTCCCCTGCCCCTCCTCCCGCAGCGTCCTCCTCGAAACCCCTGTTGTACCAGCAGTGCTAGCCCCGCCCTGCTTTCTGTTCAAACAAAGAGATGTTTTTGTGTTGTATTTAAAGGAAGAGATGTTTATAAATGGGTGGACAAAGGAACAACTGAATGAATGGATGAATCAGTGGAAGATAGAGATTTGTGAGTCATTTGTGGGGTAAACAATGGTATTTGAGTAAAGGGTGTCACCTCTGCCCTCCACGACCCAAGACAGGTAGAGAGAGAAACTGAGACCTTGTAAGAGTTGATCTTAGACCCTAACAGTTAGCATCCAAGACAGGTAATAAGGAAAAGATGCAGTATTCGCAAAAAGAATCACGAGCTCCTGCCACCTTGTAATGCATCAGCAACTTGGCACTCACACTGCAGAGAGGCTAGGACAGCAGAGACCCCCAGGCTGGCTCTCACATTCTCTCCATTTTGTCTCTGAGCTGAGAAGCTGCTGGTGGCGCCCTAGAGCATCGAACTGTTGAAGGGGACATACAGGCTCCTGGGACAGAGGAAATGAGGTTGTTGCTGTCTGTCCTAAGCATAGGATTTTCCGAAGAAGCCTCTGACTTTCTTAGTCTTCCTGGCCTGCTTACTGTGCATTATTCTCCAATACCTGCTTCAGCTCAACTCCATCCCAAAGAATCATAACTCGTTGTATAACCACCAAAGTATGACAGTGTGTATTTTTCAGAAAATGTGGTTTGCAATTTCACTGGGTCAGGATGTTTCCAATTTCGGCAGACACTGACGCTCTTTTTCCTTCCTAAAAATGAAGCAGGATTTGAGGTCTTTGGCACCTAGGTAAGTTCGTCAGAGCCTTTCAGGAAGCAGCTTCAAAAACCGAGCGGTTGCGATACCCGCTCCCTGTCCCAGGCTCACACTGTCTGTCCCAGCCCTTGGCCATTATCTCCCCAGCTACTGAGCTGGAAGTGAGATGACACCTCTCCCTGAGCACGGAGTCTTCAGAGAAGCAAACTTTGAATTTCATCAGACCAAAGAGATCATCAGTAGCCACTAGCTGTTTCCTGTAGTACATTCTCTTTCATCATGTTGAAAAAGGCAACCAAGAAAATAGAGTTTTTTTCCTCTTCCTCCTGAAGGTTCAGCCTAAGTGCTTGGAAAGAACATTTTGTTCCAAGGGCAAGAGCTGTCATTCTCCAGTGTTGGAAGTGTTTAAACATCTGTGGGCTTGTTTTTACAACCAGGAGCACCAGGCTGGCTTGACAATGAAACTGGTCCAGCCACGGAAAACTCCCCTTCCCGCGTCTCCTCTTCCCACCCCTTCTTCCTTTCTCCCCCTTCCTCTTCCCTTCCCTCTTCTCTAGGATCCTAGTAGAAGATTTACCCCAAGAATTTTCCCTTCTTGGGGAATAAAAATGGGGTTAAGGACCCTAGGCTCTGGAGGTGGATGGCTCTGAGTTCAAATTCTGACTTTTCCATTTCCTAGCTATGTGAGCTCAGGCAGTCTGGGATTTTTACATCTCTAAGTCTGTTCTCCTCATCTGTTAAATGGAGATAAAAGAATGTGTTATATGGGCTGTTAGGCAAGTTAAATAAAACAATATGTCTATGCAATGGACACGGCACGAGTCCTTGTCTAGTGGTTGTGAACAGTGTGTAAGTAGAACTAAAATTATTTCTGTTAAGAGGCTTTGTGGCCCGTGATACCACGACATCCTTCAAGCTCACTACAGTGTAGGCTGTGGGTAAAGGTAACTGTGGCGTAGACTGCTGGTCTAATGTCTACTTTCAGGCGCTTCTGTACTGATAGAAGTCTTCCTAAAGGAGGGCACATGGCTGCCTGGGGTAAAGACTACAATTCCCAGCCTCCCTTTCTGCTAGGTATGATCATGTGACAAGGTTCTGGCCAATGAGATGTGAGTGGAGCAGTTACAGGACAGCTTCTAAGAGTCCATCCTGCAGAGACTGCTGGATGTCTAATTCCCATGTCCCCTCTTACTCCCTTACTTCCTTTCGGTGCCCAGAACATGGATGTGATGGCTAGAGCAAGGCTCGGAACATGGTGATGAGGACACATCCACAAGCCGGTTCCCGAAGATTTCATGGAGTTGACCCACTACCCCACCCTGCAAACTTTTACATGAGAGAGAAACCAACTTTTATTTTATCTGGTACTTTGTTCATTGTAACCAATTTTCTCTATTTTTAAGAAATGACTTTTTAAATGATCATACCAAAGCTGACAAGTCCAAGGAGGTGGGAAATAGCTTAGTGGTAGAGCATGTGCTTAGCATGCAGAGGTCCTGTGTTCAATCCTCAGTACCTCCATTAAAAAAAAACAAACTGGCAAATCCAAATGAATGCTAACCTTCAAAATAATCATCCTCTATCATAGCATCATCTAAATTTTCCTAAAATACATATATTGATCAAACATTTATAAACATTTATCAAACATTTATAAATTATTCTTTTGGAATTACCTTCAAGGACACACACACACACACACACACACAATTTTGCTGCTTTATGAGAGCATAATTTATTTTTGACACCCAGGTGGTATCAGTCAGCTTCATTTCATTCACCTGATTGGTTTCTGGGTTATTTTAAACTATTTCCCAGCAGCAAATCCACCCTCTAAAGAATATATAATTTATTCCTGTGGACATTTCATAGAACGTGTCAGGGCACAAAAGCCAGTTCCAAAGGAAGAGATCCAAGCAGTGTTTGAGCAATGACAGACTCATTCAAGTGTAGCACCTCTTCAAGGGGCTACCTTGATGGAAATTTATTCCAAGGTAAAACATTCTCGTATCTTTGTTTAAAAATCACTTTCACTACTTAGATCACACCCATGGCACTGACCATTTGGTGAAGACTTAGACATCATAATTAAAGTTGTAACCTGAGCTTGATCGCTCTGAACAAGAGAGAAGACTTAAATACATAGGTCCTTTGTCCAGTCTTTACACTGAAGTCTCTGTATTCAGAAGAGGTTGGTTCATGGGGTGTTTTTATTCTTTCTCTCCCAGCTGTCGGCGCAGCGGATGAGCAGTCTGCCTCATTACTGAAGCTGCCAGAGGCAGTGTGTCAGCAGAAGCCAGTATGGGCTCTGACAGATTCCTCCCCATCCATAATTAAAGGGAGAAGACATATTGACCTGAGAGGTAAATAATACAGCAGCAACGCCAGGCATGGCCCAAGGGAAATCAGTCCATCTTGCTGCACCCAGCAGTGGGGGCACTAGTGTGGTATCCAAGTACCCATCGTATTAAAATCATGTGTATTGCCGCTGTAAGATTGGAACATAGGACTGTTCTCCTAAGCTTAGCCTCTGCAAAGGGAACAGATGGAAGGTCAAACATAATTAGTCTGTTTAGCCAGGACCTCAGGAAACAGATTTGCATTTTCGACCTTCTGGATGGCGGTGGGGAGATTCTTAACCTTTTCTGTGAAGCAGTAGCCACGTCTGAAAATCACAGGGATCACAATCCTTGTGAAGTCCCTGTAACAAAATCACACCAGATTCCAAGCCACCCATGGGAAAGGGCAACCCACAGCCTTCAACTCAGCACCGAACGCTCATAAAAATATACCTAAATCCCTAGATGTTTCCAATTATCTGCCCAACCGTCATGGAATAAGTTCCATTGTATGGGCATGAACACAAAAATCTTAAAAATCCCTCCTGCTTGTTAGGTTAGCACATGAGCCTGGGTATTTTTCCTTCTATTTTTGTCTCCTTCTTTACTCGGCACAGGAGTTGAAGCCCACCTGGCCTTCCCTATGTCAACCAGCTGCTTCAGGTGACCTTCTAGTGAGACGATCTGAGAGAGTTTTGCCTCTTTGTCTCACCCTAAAGCATTCCGAGCATCCTTCTGTCTTTGATGTGCACCTCTGCAGAGACCTGGGATGCGATGCTTTCTGATTTGTTTGACGCGTTGGACACCCAACCCAGAGGAACTGGCAAAGAGAGAAAGTCGCATTTGTCAGCGAAGAAGGTCAC